ATTCTTACTACTAAAAGTTAGAGCCCGTTTGGTAGCACGAAAATCGGCTGTTTTGACTGATTTTGCTGAAATTTATGAAGTCCTGACTGAAGTGGCTGCATTGGCTGATTATGCTGATTTAAGAAAAAAGTATTTTTAAGATATATTTTATTAATAAAATAAAGAAAAAATTAGATGTAAAAATAGCTAAAATGGTCATCTACAGTAACTTCAGCCAATACAGCCAGAAAAGTAACTCCAACCTTACTTTTTATGTTTATTACACAATTCAGTGCGCGAAAGCAAAAAGTACGTGTTTGGTGAAAAAGTTGGTTGATAAGCCTGATAAGCCGAAATTAGAAGTCTGGTATTAGGCCTGGACTCGGGCCGGGCGGACCGAACCGGGCCCGACCCGGCCCGCTCAATGTTCTAACCGGCCCGACCCGGTCAACCGGGCCCTAGGCGGTTCGGGCCTACCCGGCCCGGGTGCAGGGCGGTCCGGGCTCGGGCCTCTAATTTCTTGAACCGGCCCGGCCGGGCCGGGCCCGGTCCGGGCCTAACGGCTAATTTTAAAAAAAAAAAAAAAAAATCTTTTTCAATTTTTTTTGGCCTTTGTAGCCGTTGGGGCTGTTTGGGAGCCTCCAAACGGCTCTATAGCCGTTGGAGAGGGGTGGGGGTGGGGGGTGGGTGGGGGGTGGGGGGGGGGGGGTTGGGGGTGGGGGGAGAAAAAAAAACCTATTTATACTCCTATTTTCTATACATTTTTTACACCTTCTCTACTCTCTAATTCTCTATTCTCTCAATCTCTAAAATCTTCATTCATCTCCATCTTCATCTTCTATTCTTCTCCAATTTATCTCTACATATATATTATTTATATAAATATTATTATATCTACTTATATATTTATTATCTACTTATATATACATATATTACATTACTAATATTTATTATCTACTTAATATATATTTATTATCTTATAATTAGCTACTTTACATATATATATATTATATATATTATATAACTTATATTCCTTATCTACTTAATCTCTACTTATTATTAATTTATTATAGCTACTTATATATTTATTATCTACTTAATAGTTAATATATATTTATTGTCTACTTAGTTAATATTTATTCATCATCAACCAATCGGCCAATCCACCAAGGTACTCTTCTCTTCTTTTATCCATTAATGGCGTTATATTCAAGTAGTTAATTTATTGCATTATTCATTAAAGTGTACACCTAGTAAATTTAGACATTTTAATTAAAGTATAAAACTAGTTAATTTTTTGCATTATTCATTAAAGTGTACACCTAGTAAATTTAGACATTTTAATTAAAGTATAAAACTAGTTAATTTATTGCATTATTCATTAAAGTGTACACCTAGTAAATTTAGACATTTTAATTAAAGTATAAAACTAGTTAATTTGTTGCATTATTCATTAAAGTGTACACCTAGTAAATTTAGACATTTTAATTAAAGTATAAAACTAGTTAATTTGTTGCATTTGTCATTAAAGTGTACACCTAGTAAATTTAGACATTTTAATTAAAGTATAAAACTAGTTAATTTGTTGCATTATTCATTAAAGTGTACACCTAGTAAATTTAGACATTTTAATTAAAGTATAAAACTACTTAATTTGTTGCATTTGTCATTTAAGTGTACACCTAGTAAATTTAGACATTTTAATTAAAGTATAAAAGTAATAAAACTAGTTAAATTGTTGCATTTGTCATTTAAGTGTACACCTAGTAAATTTATACATATTAAAATATTTGATATACTTTTATATTTGTTAAGATGGAGCGCGGTAGACATTCTTTGGATATCGGAAATCTCCAACGCAACCGAAAGAAGGAGATTGCGAGAACTCATCCTAGTTTGCGCAAAAAAAGCGGGCAGTCCGGATCTTCTTCTCAAACTGGATGGGAGGACGAACCGGAATACCAACGGCGAGATGGCGAAAGAATGTCCGACGAGCAACTACAACAACTATTGGCTCAAAATCCTCAATTTTTCCATCAACGAGACATCCCGGTCCTCCCGGACGATATTCACACCATTGACGAAGAAGAGCTCGAGGATGACGATCCGGAGGAGGACGCGGGGGGCGCCGGGAGTCACGGCACCCCGGATGAGGAGCAAGCGGCGGACCACGAGGGTGACGAGGGTGGTTCATCCCAAATAGGTACGAAATCTAAATCTCCTATTATAGAAAATAATTTTAAAAAGTATAAAGACCCAAGCACCGAGAAATGGTACGCAAGTTGCAACCATTGCGATAAGGTGTACAGTTTGGGAACTTCGGGCGGATACGGGAGCCTCAAAAGGCATCTTATGGGCAAGCACAAGGTGGAGTATGCAAAAATTGAGAAAGGCAAGGGGAAGCAAACACAAATATCGAGGTTTGCAAACAACCAACCTTATGGTAATTTCTCATACAATGATCAACAAAATTTGACTGGTATGGCTAACTTTATGGTTGAAGAAAATTTACCTTATTTGTTTTCTGAAAGTGTTTCTTTTAAAGAGTATGCACAAACTTGTTTAAATCCTCAATTTCGAAGTTTTAGTCGAAAAAACGGTTAAAAAAGAAATTATAAGGCTTTATAAGGCGGAAAAGTTGAACTTACAAAATTTTTTTGCAAACTATGATGGACGTGTTACTGTTTGTTCTGACATATGGGAGGACACCTATCATAATTTACATTATTTGGGTTTGACTGCACATTATGTCGATGATGATTGGAATATGCATAAACGTGTTCTTGCTTTTCGTGAATTTAATGATCGTCACACCGCCGAACATATTTATATTTTGATTGAGCGTATTTTAATTGAGTATAATTTGGTTCATAAGGTGTTTGCTATAGGTTTTGATAATGCTACTAATAATACTGCTGCTATACCTAGATTGCGTGAATTGTGTGGTGCTACTACTTTGATGGGTAGATTTTTTCATCAACGATGTGCATGCCATATAATAAATTTATGTGTGCAGGATGGTCTAAAAGCGTTGGGAGATGCTATGGAGGTAGCGAAGGGGGGGATTAGACGTATTTGGGCTAATGGTCAACTTAAATTAAAATGGAAAAATTATTTGAATGAGAGAAATGTGAAATATGTTGCTTTTCCTAAAGATTTGTCTATTCGGTGGAATAGTTCTTATAAATTAATTAGAGTTCTTATTAGATATAAAGAACATTTTCCTGCTTTTTTAAAAGAATATGATAACTACATTTTAAACTCTGCTCACATCGACACTTGCGAAAAAATTTGTAATGTTTTGATATTTTTTAATAATGCAACTGAAAGTTTTAGTCATGTTTATAAACCGACTTCAAACGAATTTATGCGTGAACTTGTTAATCTCGCCGGTGCTTTTAATGAATTTCAAAATGCCGATTATGTGAGCTATTTTTGTACTTTTATGAAAGAAAAGTTTTTAAAATATTATTCACATATTCCACATATTTATGGTATTGCTTTTATTCTCGATCCTCGTTATCGACTTAGTAATTTGGAACAATGTTACAAGTTCTATTATCAATCTTTTTATGGTGATTTTCCAATGTATGAAGATAACCCTATAGATCCGCAATCTGAATACAACGAGGTTAGTAGTTTATTTTATTCTTTATTTAATGAGTTTCGTGCACAATATGGCAACATGCCCCCTCCCCCAACCCAAACATCTTCATCTAAAGGAAAAGGTTTTTTTAAATCTGCATTTGGCAATCTTATGAAAAAAGCTAAAACAACGCACACTACTGAACAAAGCACAATTAATGAGATTGCTTTGTATATTAACTATGAGGTTGAGTTTGTAGAAAATGAAGATTTTGACGTCCTAAAGTGGTGGAAGTCAAAAGAAAGAACGTTCCCGATTTTGGCACGGATGGCTAAGCAAGTACTATCAATGCCGGTTTCAACAGTTGCCGTGGAACAAGAATTTAGTTCGGCCGGCAACGTCCTAACTAAATCGAGAACGTGTTTGAGTGCCGAATCTCTTGAGACACTTATATGCTACCACGATTGGTTGAAGGCAAGACGTAGAACTCAAGAACTTAGTCTCATCCCCTCCCAAGACTTTATGGATGAATCAACCGATGGTGGTTCTACCTATGCCGGGGATTCCGATTGATTAGTATTTTACAATTTCTTATTTTATCCTCAATTCTCTATTGTAATTTGTGAACTTGTAGATTTGTAGTTCATATTTCAAATCAATAAAAGTTAAATTTTTTTATATGTCGCATTTTTTAATTATATTATATTATTATTACTTAATAGAAAATGTATTAGAATTAATTGTTCTCAAATCTCAAAATGTACTTATTACTTATTTCACATAAATGTACTTCAAGATTGTTTTTAAATAATTTTAATATTCAAGATTCCAAGTAGATGTATAAGAATATAAGTTAAAAAAAAAAAAAAAAAAATTCTAGGCCCGACCCGACCCGCCGGTTCACCCGACCCGGGGCCCGGCCGGGTCACCCGGCCCGAACCGGCAACCGCTCACAGGCGGGCCGGGCCCGGGCCTTACATTTCCGAACCGAGGCCCGGCCGGGCCCAGGCCCGAACCGGGCCCGAACCGGCCCGAGGCCAGGCCTATCTGGTATCATACGGTGTTGTGTTATGTTCTCATCATTTTTACCATATAGAAAAATAAGGGAATTCATTAAGAATGTGATAGTAACAATATAAAGGACCTGACAATAACATAAAGGACCTTCTCGGCATTTACTCTCCGCACATAGATGTCAAAAGTTTGACTTATTGGCGGAAAAGTCGAGAAGCAGATAAAAGCATGTAGATCTTAGCTTGCAAATCTTAACTTAAATATTCTTAAATTAAATAAAAGTTTCTATTTATAAAAACTACTTTTCAGTTTTAAAATTAAAAAGTGGAAAAGAGTGTTTTAAGCATTTAAAAACCCTGCCTTCACCACCTCATAACATGTTTTTCGGGATGTCCTTTCCCACTTGCAAAGGAAGACAGTTTGGCATGTTAATTAATTATTATTTGTTGATTATTGAAATTACTCTACATCATATATTGGTTTTAGACTATCTTGTTCATCTATTTAAACAACAATCTAATTAGTACCCGTAGAGGCTTCAGGACTGTGAATCAATTGGGAGAGTTTGAAGGTTAGCCGTAGGAGGGGAAGATATAGGAAGTGAAGACTCCAAAACTATCTATTCCTTTTTTGTAATTCCCAAATAAAAAACGAGGACCGTAAACTCTCCTTACCCTTCTTCTCCCCTCCAAAACTAACTCCCAAACATACCCTTAAAAACAAATCATCCCACTTAATGTTTCATTTTCATTGCAGATTCCTCATTTCCTCCGCTCAAACGAGATAGCTGTTCCCTTCAAAGATGTGATGTCTGAGAATTCCTCGAAGAAAATCTAGCTGTTCAAACCCCCCTTTAAGCTTTTCCCACTGCAAAACAGTATATGCAGACATTTTATTCTACCACAACTTGTGTTTTCTAAGGTCTCACATTGTGATTAATATTAGTAACCACAGTGAAAGTAGAAAACAAAAAATAGTGATGATCCAGAACAATGATAATTATCAACTCCATGTGCATAGATAGAAGTATTTCCTTTCTCTCTATTTCTCCATATTGCAATTTAGCATTTAAGTTCGTGTACATTATAATTATAGATTATGGTTTTAGTTAATTGTGAATTGTAAATTTGTAATCCTAAAAACTGTTCCAATATTAAATTTTACTTGGTCATCATCATAAACATATCTATATGATTTATTATTCAAGACAGAGTACCTTAGTATTTACAATCATTTAAATTTTTAGAGTTATATAACAAACTTAATTAAAAATAATGTTGGAGCCATAACTTATAAGAATAGTTTCCATTAACCCGTTACAATAAATTTAGAAAACCTTCTCTTAGTATGAAAATAGAGTAAGCTAGTAAGGTATATGGATACATTGGCATTAAGGACTTACTTCCTGTTGAGAGACGGATACAAGTTTCCACCCAGCTGCAGTTATGTACCGGCGCTTCAGCATTGTATGACCTAGTGGTGATTCTGTGTATAAAAAAGGGCTAAAATAGTTGTAGTTACGGGACGAAAGATAATGCCACTAATTGTACACTCTAGTTTTCTTTTTTACTTTTCTACGTAAGCACTGTAATAGCCTCTATGAACTATGATATTGTACGTTCAAAGTGATATCAATAATAGTGACAGCTTATTATTCAACAAAACTAATTACTCACCTATGTTTCTTGAGAAATGTGTGGGGCCATCAATCTCAAGACCAATTTTTTTGTCAATCACAACTGCATCCAGTGTGTACCCATCTACATCATATTCCCTCACCCAATCTAGCCCAGTGCTAACAAGAAGGCGGGCAACCTCTTCCTCGAAGGAAGAGGTCACTTTCTCATTAAATCTTTTGGTTCTTCCAGCACGAGAGATTTTTTCCTCAAGACTGCTTTTAAGGGAAAAGGGAAGATTTGGGTACTCTAGCTTCAAGCACTGGTTTGTTTGATGAACTTGAGAAGCAAACATGACATCTTCCCTGTACTGCTCAGAAATGCGCTGCTCCTCAAAATGGTTCATAGTATTCCACACGTGGGAAAAGAAAACTCGGTCCAATTGCCCGAAAACAGAAAATGACCAACATATATTACCAAGCTGATCTCGGTTGAAAACAAGGATAGGAGAAGTGGAGTCAGTTTGCAGTTTGTCAGTATGGCCACCACTTTCTGATCCACTTTCTTCGTGGTGAGGTGATATGCTGGGACCTGTTCTCTTCACCTGAAAAAATATGGTCATATTTGAATTTTTTAAGATAAGGTTTACCATATATTATGCATTAGACGTCCAATGTGAGACATTTGAATGCTTCCCCTCAACTCAGTCCCACCCAGTTTACAACATGAGGGGTTGGATAAAAAAGACAAACTGATCCAAAATGGGCTATTCCAAATTATAGGTGTCAAATTAAACAAACAAACAAACAAATAAACCACCATCAAACAAGAGTACAAGACTAGATGCTGTGTTAGTTTGGCCCAAAGTCCCAAACTCACCTCATAAGAATTATAGAGTTGAAGTTTACTTCATACTTATATACAAAACAAGATCTTGCAAGAACTTCTGTTTTTGTCATGTCAGAATCTTTTGTCTTGACTAGATTTTCTTATCTGTTCTTATTTAAATGCTATAGGATGGTCTAATTTGATTGTTTCTGGTCTAATCGAATTTGAATGTGCCTGATGTAATCATATTGAATAAAAGTAAACAATAATGAAAAGAAATAATGTAAACAAAGGAACACCTTATAATCCGAGCAGCACTGGAATTGATTGGCATCACTAAAAACATGATCCAAAGCATCAAGCAACAGATCAACAGGTTCATAAAGTGAAGCAAATGCCCACAACATCTGAGCAATTTCTTGTGGCTGAAACGTGTCAATTACAGCACAGGCTCTTCTTGATAATCCGCTAAAAAGTTCAGGAGCAGAATGACGCATAGAAGCAAAAGCACCTGCTACATTAGCAACATTTTGTGAATTGAACTCATCAACCTTAGCTGATGCCACCTCTGCAACTCTATCCATTTCAGACAGATAGAGCAACCCACCACCCACCTTTGACAATGCCCATGCAATATTTGAGACACCCTGTGGCGAGCACTCGGGCAAGGAAGTCATTGCAATGGCAACAAGCATACACATTTCCCTACGACGGGCAAATGCCAACCTTTGGCTTGTGGTCATTGAAACCTTATCCATGTTCTTAGCAATTCTATGCAATGATGTGGCAATATTCAGAGGAGAAAGTGGTGAAGGGCTGAGACCTTTTGCAACAGCCATGATTGTGTCAGAGGAAACTTCCAGAACTTCCTCGGCAGTTTGGGCATCAACAATTGCTTTGTTCAAGCTGATTTCTTTCTTACGGTCTGATGGGCCTGAAAATCGGGAAAGCCTTTCAACGAATGTTTCCATTGTTTTAGCCATCCTCTCTTTGAACATACCACCAGCAAATGCACTTATATTCCTCTTGATATCATTCTTATCATCATCATCATTAGTATCAGATAAATGTTCATCGTCCAAATCAAAAACGTCTTCCTCTGAACTAAAATCCAACCGCCCATCATCTGTTTTGACAAAATGTTCAACCTTTTTTTTAGTCTGGAACTTTTTCTTAAACTTCTTTTTAGTGTTCTCACCACCAATTATCATGCCCTTTGCAACAGGGGTTAATCCTCTAGCCTCAATAGACTTAAGTGCAATTTTCCTTGCCTTCACACACCAATCCATTTTGTCTGTATCAGGGAGCAACCTAGACTTGGGTTGGTTTTCTTTTGTCTTCTTTGGAGAAATCCGCATTTCTCCTAGAAACTTAGCTTCCCAATCTACACCGTCAGATGTCCCCCCACTTACTTCACTAACAATGTATTCATCTTCTTCGCTTTCATCATCATCAAAATCCGAAATTTCATCATTATAATTTCTAGATGGATTTATGCAGCATGTCATCCGGAAATGAAACCCTGATTTTGAAGAAAGTTCGAATCTTGGACACGTAATGAGGACTGCATTTTGGGGGGTCTCACTGAAAACAGCCGGAAACAGTAGAAGGGGTTTCTTAAACGTTAAGAATGGGTTGAGCGAAACAGTTTCCATGGATTGCTGCTAGCTGTACTAGGTGGTTTGGGGTATAGGAAAACTAACCTTAAGTGGAAAAGTAAGCATCAGAAACTCACTCACTGGATGTTCAACATTCCACCAGCAGTGGCGGAACTAGAAATTAGTTACAGAGGGGACGATGACATACTGGAAAACCTACCGGCGGGCAGCGCTTGGCGAGCTGGCTCCGGCCTCCGGAGATCAAGATAGTGTGGGGGTGTTTGGATCTTGTACAAAGTGGAGTGTTTGGGTCAAAGTGTATAAGTGATTCTGATGCTCAATTTACTCTTAAAATCAATTTTTTAGAAGTTAAGGTGAAAATTGATTCCGATTCTACTTCTTCCTTAAAAGAAAAGTAGAAGAAGGACAATCGGTTACAAGCAACCCTAATGCTTAACAGACAAATTTGACCTTTTTAAATTTAAGTGAAATTGCTAGTACCGTAGTAGTTTGAAGATTCACAATCCACCCACTAACCATTTTAATTTCTTTCAAAGTTTCTCTCCATCCATTATTTTGGTGTGATGCAGCAGATTATATGTTTTTATAAAAAACTGAAACTTTTTAAACTTTTCTCTGATTTTTACAAAAGAATGTCAAACTAATTAAATAATAAAATTCTACGGAGTATGATATTCCATTACACTATATGTCTATATCTGCAAGGGGGGCAAAGGGGGCCGGTACCCCTGCTCTGGCCAATCGAGCTAGGGTATAGGATGGGGTTTGGGGAACCGGACTGGTCCATTCCATTATTATCGGTGGGCGGCGACTGTAATTTCCGGCTGGAAGACGCAAGGAGAGAGACGATTGATTGGGCAAGGACGTGAGGCTTTTTTTTTTTAAATACAGCGACGTCGTTTGGAGCAAGGAAAAAAAAAGTTTAGGGCCTATCGGGCCAAGGCAGGTCCAATAGGGAACAGCCCATACGAGGCAGATAGACCAAGCCACCAGCCCTTCCTCCCTTGACCCAGAGTCCCTAGTAATTCTGAAACGATACGCTGCATCGGAACGCATGACGCAATTACCCAAGCAGCATAAATATGAATTTCTTAATATTTCATTAAGTATTTGATATTTCATTATTAAATTTTGACAATTCATAAATATGATTTGAAATCTTCCAGAAAATATAATTTGAAAAATATGTAGTGCAAAATTATTAATTGAATCTAATTATCTAATGATTACTCGTATGTATTATTGGGTACTACGTATTATATTATGATCTTTTAATAGTTTGAATTAATCTTTTTGTTTTCGTCAATTAGTATTAGGAAATGTCGGCCATATTTTCCCTCAAGTGATTTATCGATAAGTTCAGATGCTAGTCCTTCAAATGTTTCTGTCTGGGAGTGGGAGTAGGATTAGACAATCGTTGCTGGAAATGCGGTGACCGTGCCCCCGCTTAAAATATTTTCTAGCTCCGCCACTGTCTATATCAACAGATGTGCATTACATGTATAATTTCTTTTTAGTAGTCATAAATCATACAGTAAATTAATATGGTTAAAATTACTATTCCCGTCCCGAATAAGTTCGCCATATTGACTTTTTTTCGTCAATGGTGATAAACTTTGGACAATGATTTTAATTATTATATTTGTATAGAATTTATAAATTTTTTACTTTTATGAAAATAATCAAATATTTTGAATAAATAACATTTTGATATAATTTTCATACTCTAAATGATTTTGTATTAAAAAATATCATTGATCAAAGTTGATTGACATTGACCAAGAAAAGTCAATTTGGCGAACCTTTTCGACACAGATAGAGTATTATATATATTTGAATATAAAAGTGTGACTTTTTATATTAATATCGAGAAAAATTAATTTATAAGACGACCACAATTGAAATTTGAAGTATACATATTAATTTGAGAGAAGTTAATTTATTAGGAGATATGTAGTATTAATTTATAATTATAACACCAATAATTATGCTTTTAATTTGACTGAAATTTTCTAATCTGATTTGTTCTTGTCTATTTAAGTACGATTTAGCCTAGTCTGGTCCAAACTGGTCCAACATATGTCTATTGACTCTATTCGATGTGTCTTATTTGATCCACCCTATATATACTACATTCATCTCACTTAAAGGTTCTCGACGTAAAATGACAAATTATTTAGACAATAGTTAAATCAGGTAATTTGAATATATTTCGAGAAATGGTTTTAATGAGTAAATAATATAATGAGGTCATTTAAGAGTATATATGTATTATTTTTAATATTTAATGATGAATTTATCATTTTTTTGAACTCAATGATTAATTTATTATTTAAGAATGTCAATTGTTTTCTAAAATAAAAATGAAAATCTTTATAAGTACTATGAATTATGAGACGTCCAAAAAAATGTAAACCTTCAATGGAACACGGGAGTAGTAATTCTTTTTTTTTTTGAAATACAGGATTTTATTAATGAAATTGAGGTCAAAGTACAATCACGCATGAAACTCCTACACAGGGGTCGGAAACAGCCAAAATGAAAGACAAAAGCTAGCGAAATAAAGAAAGATACAATGATCGAGAGCAAAAGATAAGGAACTATAGAAAGATGAGACTGCTATAATGCGATATCCTTAAGTTATAGAAACCCCCAAGGCTTTGTGATAGCATTCCACTTCCATGACAGAAAATCCGTGAGAACTCCCAAGTAAGTTAAGTCGCCTAATCCTGTTTAGCGCTGTCGAGATTGCATGGTCCTAACTAAATTGGCGTTACGCTTTTTATCCCTTCTTGACAATACTGAAGTGAAACCATCATCTTCCTCTTGTTGGGGTTCAATAAGTGCATCTTTATAAATGGGAGATTCCTTGTAAGTAAGGTAATCTTTGAGTTCCTTATGCTTTAGAATTTGATGGGGTCCTGAGTCGCGCAAAAGCTCCTTAAAATTCTTTCGTGTAAGAATTGTTGTACCTGGAGCCACTTTCTCTAAAATCGAGTAAAGAAATTTGTCCGTAGTTGAGCTGTCTAAGTATTTTCCTCCCAAGTATTCTGCAGCATCATCAAACAGAAAATATAAACCTACCCCATCATTATCGAGAGCATGTAAAAAATCCTCCAAAGTACACGGGAGTAGTAATTGTTTGATGATGGTTAGGATTTATAATTTTGATTAAATTAGGGTTTGATTATTGATGGACAGTCTACCCGGGGGTATCTTATCCGAGGGGTTATTGCGGGAACAACTAGAGAGAAGTCAGAGCAAAATAGAAGGAGAGAGAGTCGATTTTATTAAATCAACTCAGCGTGTTCTGGTGCTTTACAATGGGGAAATGGGGTGCTATTTATAGTAGTAATAAATGCGATGAGAGTACACGTGTCAGTAATCCAACGGCCGAAGGGTCACATCAATCGGGTGGTACCGGCAGTGGCATGTTCACCGCATTGAATGCGGTGGGTGGATGTGACGTCGCATTAAATGCGGTGGTTGGCTGTCTCCAAAGGGAATCTTTGATGATTGAGTCTGTCCGGCCGAAGGTTCCTCACGTAGCCGAAGGCTTCGAGTGGCCGAGGGATCTGTGATACCCAAAGGCTTGGTTCAGCCGAAGGTTTCTCTAATGCCGAGGGCTCAACAGCGCCGAAGGCTCCTGTTTTCTCCCGTTTTCTCCCAGTAGCTTCGTATGCCCAAAAAAGTTATCCTGTGAGTTTTGGAGCCTTCAGACAAGGAGGCCGAAGGCACCCCAGTGTGTATTCTGGGCTCCTTTGAGGATTGGGCCGTTGCATTTGGGCCTGAGATGCTCCCTGGGCTCAATGGGCCTGTGTAGGAGAAGTAGGAGTCTATGGGCCGAGGGTTCCTGGGCCATATACTCCATCAATTATGTTTTAAAAATATATCTTTTTTAAAAGGTAGATGTCTCAATCTCAATAAATAAAGAGGGATGGTCAAACCAAGTGGTGCGCCCCGCAAATAAGAGGACAAATTAGTCCATTAATGACCAAAGATAGGCACGCCCGGCACATTTGGAGGTGCGCCGAGTCCCTCCTTTTTAGTTTTAGGATGAATGAACTAGTATGCACCCGTGGGATGCAGGGTGGGTGAAATCTTTGATAATCATTAGACATGAAAGGATAATATGTAAGTTTGTTGTGCTATGTAATGTGATTATCATACAATGTCAAAAATTAAACATTATGAAACACTTCTTTGTAGACAACAACATTCATCGTTTTATCCTTTGGAAAATCATTTTCATTTTGAATGAGGATTTTGAGACCTGAATGATTGGTTACTCTTGACACAGCAACATATAATTATCCATGGCTGAAAACTGGTTTTTCGACATGAGACCAACGTGACTGAGCGACTGGCCTTGACTCTTATTGATGGTCATTGAATAAAAAACCATAATAGAGAATTGTCTCCTTTCAAATCTAAATGGTAACCGAGCATCAAATGGTGTCAAAGACAGTTGTGGTATTAAAACCTTTTTTCCCACACTCATAACATTCAGAACCCACCTTCTAAGATGTGATCATACATCTTTGTAATGATGAGTCAATTGGTAACTAATGCCTTCATCCTCTCAGCAAATAGATTAACAGCGCAAGTAATTTAAGCCTAAAACCTCAAAGACATTCTAATAGCACAGTCAACACTCTAGCCAGCTCACAAAGACACAGTTTAAGGAAAAAAAATCAACAATTTTGACATGATTTTCCTATGAATATACAAATAACACCTACGCATGCTAATTAACACTAGTAATCTCACGTAACAACTACTGCCCGAAAGCCCAGTTCACTCCCCCACACTTAAACTTTGGCACCGCCCTCGATGACCAAACATGCATTATGCACAAGTGGGTAAAGGGGAAAAGGTCAAGCATGTTTATTACCTCAAGCCACACTTTAAACAGGCAAAAAAGGAAGGTCATGGAAACTTCCCTAGGGGCGTTGTACAATGCAGAATGAAGTTGAGTCAATGTAAACTGCGGCGCATCATTCGAAAAGAATACTCTGAGGTGCAAAACAAATCACACAAACACAAAAACACACAGAACTCCCCCCCCCCCCCACATTTATTTTGTGATTTTCGTATATTTTCTGAAAGCAACCAAATTCAAACAAAAGTGCAGGAATAAGCTTGGGTAGCCTCCCAAGAAGCGTTATTTTTAACGTAGTGTGCCCGATGATACCTCATAGGCTCTCAAATAGCAAATACTATAATGGTGCACTAATTTTCAAAGCTTCTAACTTTCGCTCCACAAATACCTCATAGGTAGCCCATGG